TTTAATCCATTGCCATATTGTTTCTACGTGTTATCGTTTCTTGCGTCACTTTATCACCGCAAACTTTTCTTTACCATGGAAAAAGTATATAATATCACAAATATAATCAGTCTCAGTTGACAAATTTATAGATGATTTATATAAAAAAAAAAATAGTAGTGAATCACAAGAAATCAATGGCAAATCCAAAACTGGACTAAAAAAGATTTCAAACCAGGCTAATATTTAAAAAATAAAAAATAAAATTACAAATTATAGAAAACAATATTTGCATATATAAATTTGTTTACATATAAAAAAATAGATGGCTGGGGACTGAATCGGGCTATTCCCCTACATCCATCATGACATGAAATTTATAAAGAGAAATTTACCTAAAACCCTTCTTTTCAAAATTACAATTCAAAAATTAGGTGATAAAGTTTACATTTCAAAAATCAGGTGGAAATTAGGATTATTAATTGTAATTAATAAAATTTTAAATCTACCTATTTGATCACCCTCACTCCATCCCCCCCATTAATTGAATTCCCAAACCCAAAAGCCATCTTCCTTTCTCTCTGTATCTTCCCTCCCTCCCTCCACCACTCGTAGCAACTTCGCCCAGACACAACCATCTCCATCCCTGTGAATCCACAACAGCTTTGAAACACTTGATTTGTCTGGGAAAGCATATGTTCTCTGCAAAGCCAGATGAACAACATGAGGATGGCCACTAGAGAGTTCCAGTCAGATGGGCACCTCTAAGTAGTGGTTTCCATAAGCTAAATATTGATGTGGCGATAGTTAAGGGAGAAGAATGGTTTGTTGGTGGTTTTCTTTCGGTAGTTTTTTTATTCGATGCACTTTGGCGATGTTGGCATTAGTGGTGGTGCAGGTGATGGTTGTGGAGATCTGAGCTCAGACGAGGTGGTGCTCGTGCTTTCAGGACCAATTGAGGTGGCACTAGGCTAGTTAGCCATCTGGGCTTCACTTGAAGGTAGAACTGTAGTGACGGGGGTTGTGTTTGTGTTTGGTTGGTTGTGCGTTTGAGTTTGGATTTGATCTATAAGTGGAATGGTGAGGGTATTAGTAGTGGAGGAGGGGCGGCGGCTTACCCAATTGTTTGAGTTTCAGTAGTAGTTAGAGTTGTGGGGATTGTGTTGGTGGTAAGGTTAGTTGCCTTCTCAGTCGACCGATTGTGTGTTGATTGTGACTTGAGATCGACCTGGTCACAGACAGTCACACTCAAAACAAATTTGATCACAGTTAGTCACATTGAATACACACTTGGTCACAATTAGTAATATACAGTCACACTGAACACAAAACTCTTTTNAGTCACACTCAACACAAATTTGATCACAGTTAGTCACATTAAATGCACACTTGATTACAATTAGTCACATACAGTCACTGAACACAAATTTTCTTTTCGAT